AATTGTCCATGGTTACTTCTTACCGTAGATGATGCCTTAGTTGCCACAGGTCATCTTGAAAAATGCTGAATTGCTTTGAAAGCTGCAGCTGTGCTGCTGGCCAGAACTTTCAGAAGATTCCTCTTTTTATATCCGGTCTGCAGTAGACCACGAATCCCGTTTTCGTTAGACTAATTTGACATCAGCGACGCGGTGGCACAATGGCAAAGACGTCGGTTTCAAACTCTGGAGGTGCCAGGTTCCACTCGTAGGAAAAAAAAATTTGTGTCCACCGGCAATTCCCTTGAACGAAGAGTTAACTTAACGTTGCTTCGGCGCGACCACCGAGAAACGGTAGCAATCACCTAGTTTGTGACCAACTGGAAAAACCCGGCCTGATGGTACGGCAGTACCGAAATAGGAGAAAGGTACGGCCGTGCCGTGTAATACTAACAACCCATATGACTGCGATTCGCCCTGACCCATACGATAGCTGCTTAGTCACGATCATAACCAGCAGAATGTGCAACCCATGCTGTAGTTGTTGCTGGATCATGTGACTAAAATGGGATGTAAATAGCGAGTATTTTTTCTGCGGGCTTGTTTCAATCTTCAGCCTGATTTTTGGCAATAATCATTTAATAAATAAAGAAATTAAACTCAAATCATGCTAAATTAGACATCCAATAGAATGTAGTCAATAGAATTACCCATTTAACCGATGACTGATGAAAGGTTGCGATATCATGACATGAAATCATAGTTTATTAACAATAACCCATTATTTTGGTCACAAAGGGGAAAGCTGGAGATCAAGGCAAATTTTTACTTATTAAATCACTTGCTCATTTAATTTTTTCAGTCCTTAACAGAGAAAAAAAGTCACTCTACAAGTCATAAAAGCGGCAAATGACGAATGTGATTTTTGGTTCAGATAATGTCGACATGAATATGAAACATTGGCTGAAGTAACTATGCCAAATATGGATGGTCTTGACCACCCACATGACCCAAAACATACTAATTTGAATCGGCTTCTTTGTATCCTCCATTTGGTACTGTAATGATCCCAGTTCTTGCTTACTGGCCAATAATCTCTGCCAGAAGGGAAGATGGCAACATGAAAAAATTCCATCATTCTTTCATTAGCGATCAGTAGGGACGGTAGTGCATAATGCACTCAATGAAGATTGGAATCAGTCTTCTTTGTCTACACAGCATTGCCTTAGGAACCACAAGGAGTCTCGCCAGTTCCAGATATCATTGCTTAGTAAGCCGACCGTCCTAGAGTCTTACGATTGGCGTTCATGACTACCGTAGTTACGGATATACATTCCACAGCAGTGGCTGAATAGTTTGATCCCATATTTTGCGCTTTACTATTTCTACTTAATGGACACTGATAGCAAGGCTGGGCAATGAACAGCTGAGGTTTCCGGCAGTTCGATATTCAAACCGCTATGTTTTCTGTTTGACAGGCTGCAATCGTGAGTGAGTTAAAATCCTACACGGCCATCAATCATAAGTGACGGTAGACAGGATGTGAAAGTGAACACACTCAAACGTGAATATTGTCATCGTTCAAGCGAACTCAGTAATACAGATGATAAAAGGACCTCTCATGATGAAGACAGAGCTGAACAGTAATACAAATTAATCTGTTTTCAGGCAGGTCTGCAATCTAGCCTCAGCGACGTTCAAGACAGATGATGAATGACCGAAACAGTGCCATTTGAGATACAGGAAGTAGATACAAGACTTTCAGACTGACGAAACTCGACAAACTCAAAATATGACAGTCCAAGATGCCCTTCTTTAAACACGGTTTTTTTCAGAGTGAAAATTTGAATCTGGAAATCGTTGATTTAAAAATATGATAAGGATGCCAGAAAAAGAAACTTATTAGTACTGGGAGAGTCTCTTAGAAAAGCTGCATGCAATGCGACAAACGACAGACGAGGTCCGGTGATTTGAGTATGCTGAATATACGGCATTCTCCTGCTCTGAAATCCAACCGGTAGATCTTTCCTAAATGACTGACATATAAGAACATTTGGAAAACTGCATGAAGCTGTCGCATGTGTAATTGGAAATGAATAAACGGATGCCCGGTTGGAAAATTGTTTTGTTATTTAATTTAAGGTTCACCATATGAAGCCGCTAATACGTGAATTAGATGCTGCTGGTTTCCAATTTTAGGGAAAAGATAGCGAAAATAGTTCCAAATTTTTGATCCTATAGAACTGTAACGTAATCGCATTATGAATAGGTGTTTAACATTTCCGTCACCTGATTACCATTAAACTTTAATTATATTTAAAGAATTTTGCGTATTGCAAGTTGAGGTAAGGAGAAAGCGGCATGAAAACTAAGTTTAAATTTATTAATTAAACCACATGCAATCGTTCGCATATTTTCTGCAGCGAAACCCCTGCCACCTACCTCCAGCCGAAAGTGGGGATCCTGCACTGTCCACCATTTGAGAGTTGAGGGCGCTAACGTTGTGATGAGCACTGGAAACAGGACACGGTTTAAAGCCTAGAACAGAGATCAGCGCAACGAAATGCTTACAAAAGTTTTGGCCTCATTTGGCAGTATATCTTCACTGACTCCAATTTTGCTGGAGATGGAACGAACCCCAGTTCGGCGCCTTCTTTGACAATACGGCCGATCCACCAATCGTTGTTGTACTTCTAAACTCGACGTTTATTGACGAGCTTAATGGACAAAGGCAGCTACTCTGTCAACAGACGCAACTTCTGCTGACTTAAATGTTGCAGACAAATTCTCTGTACATACACATATGCCGCTGCTACCGTATCCTGCTAATATCGAAAACAATTAGATTCAAACGTTGCTTTGCTGTAGTAATTAATCA